CGTTCACCGGTTCCACAGTAATGGTGATTTATAAAGTAGGAAAGTAACTTTACTTTATAAAATTTATAAAGCAGAGCTACAGCAAACCCCTACCGCCCACCATGAAAGCTGGAACGCCCACTAGTGGGCAGTAGGGACCAAGTTGATTACCACTGGCTTAGACATTTAAACACAGATCTTTTTAACATTTATGTTTTCATGTGTTTTACTAATTTAGGTATGAAATGTTAATATGTTGCCCAGTTCATGTGTGAAATGTCATACGCTAAATAATATATAAATTTCTGGCCTGGCTGCATTCTTCCGCTTTTTCTGCCAATCCTCCCCCACATTTCACAGAGAAACTTCTAGAATACTTTCCACGCCCTTGATTGGAGCATAATGTCCGGCTCTTGATTCAGCTCCCATTCCAACTGCTGCCCACCAGATTTGCTGGGGCCAGTAAATCACCAAATTCTGACAGTTACAATTCCAAAAGGCCTAGGAAGACCAAGTGCCCGAAGCTCTTAGACTGTGATGGCATGTGGAAATGACCTTGGGAGACAGAAGGAAGAGCCACGCTTCAAGAACCAGTTACGGGTGGATAAGGGAAGCCCTGGCGATAGCATAGCATAGAGAATAGAATAGAGAACAGAGAATAGAATAGAATAGAATAGAAATAGAATATAATTAACAAAGGAGAATAGCATAGCATAGAGAATAGAATAGAGAACAGAAAATAGAATAGAAATAGAATAGAATATAATTAAAGAGAATAACAGCATAGAGAATAGAGTAGAGAATAGAATAGAATGGAGAACAGAGAACAGAGAATAGAAATAGAAATAGAATATAATTAAAAAGGAGAATAGCATAGCATAGAGAATACTGTAGAAAAGCATAGAATTAGAAATAGAAAGAAAAATCGTAAAGAAAAAAAAATAAAACTAGAACTAGAATAGTTCTAATAACCAATTTCGTTGTATTTAAGTACAATGACAAAGATTATTCTTACTTATACTTAATAGAATTCTTAACTGGCCAAATGTGATTGGACACAAAAGGAATTTATCTTGGTGCAGATGCTTTTAGTGGACTTAAAAGAAAAGATACTGCAGAGAATAATAAAAAATAAGGAAACCGTCAAGGAGCATTTCACCAAGGCGGCCTTCAGCGGGGCCATCTTGGGTTGGAGGAGATGGCGCATGGCAAACTCCCTCCCTAGTTTTTTCGATTGTAGAGGCCAGGTAGGAGAAATGTACTTTCAAACTTGTGAACTAATTCTGTGAAGGCAAAGAATAAAATAGAATTAGGGGCCCCGGGTGCTCTCTGAGCTTGATTATTTTTGCGCAGGCATTTCATTACCCAACTAGGTAACATCATTAGCGCTCGTGCTTGTTCATAGGAGTGGTCTTGTTCTCGGGTCTACTGCTTCAATGGCAGTTGGTGGGACCGTTTATTCTCATCTTCTTTGGAAACTTCTTGACTGGGGTATTGTTTGCTTCTTGGTCGATGGTCTGGACTTAATCTTGGACTTAAAGCAGAAGGAGTCCATCTGGTTGTATTTTTGTCTGGAGCATCTCCCTAGGTTGACCTAGAACAGGGGTTGGCAATCTTATACACTCAGAGAGCCACAAAGGTTCAAACCAGAAGCCCATTCAATTCTGAAGCCGACCAGAAGTCCAGCTCCCCCACCATAAAGTCTCCTCCTAGTGTGGCGTCCTTTTCCTCTACCTGTCCTAACCGAAAGCCCTATTAATTGTGGAGCCAACTGGCAACAAGCCGCAGCAGAGGGATGAAAGAGCCACATGCGGCTCCAGAGCCACAGATTGCTGACCCTAGAACTAGGACAATGTTGGTTAACCTTTTCTGCACTGAGTGCTGAAATGGGAGCACGTGTGTGCATGCTGGAAGCCAAAAGAGCAGCCACCCCCATGCACATATGCATGCTGGGAAGATGATCTTCCGGTTTCCTGCATGCGCATATGCACCAGCCACCTGGTCTTCCGCTTTCTGACACGCACTTGCCCCAAAGCCTACCTGGCCAGTGCGCATGCACGTGCTGGAAACCATAAGATCCTCTTCCCGGCGTGCACATGCGCACCAGGGGGCTGCTCTTCCAGTTTCTGGCACTCCCACGCATGTGGAGACCAGCTGGCCGGTGCTCCGGAACCCAGAGGAGCAATGGGCGACGGCTTGCGTGCCCAGAGAGATGGCTCTGTGTGCCACTTCCGGCATGCGTGCCATAGGTTCGCCATCACAGGCCTAGGAGGTGGTGCTGCTAAGACCTCCATGTTGGGAAGAATCATTTCATGTTGGGTTGGAAGTCGGAACCTTGAGGAGCAAAGCTGTAAGTGTGTCCACCTTGAATGTTGGTAACATCCAAAGCTTTGGCAACTTTTTAATGGTGTATTTCTGATTCCAGCTGGCACAACACATTATTCTTAACAATTGATTTAATTGTCCGAATAGATCCCCGGGCTCGATATTGTTAACTATCCAAATGATAAACTTAATGGACCTATCCTTAAAACCCAAACGACGGATTGTTCAACTCAGTCCAGTGACTCAAGGGTTGGTGTTGAACCCAACTAAGAGGGGCCACGAGGTTGGGGAAAGCAGACTTAAACTAACAACCGGGGGGTGGGGGGGAGATGGATTTGATGCTCTATTGATTGGCTGATTTTTCTATGTGCCTCACAAAAATCTGCTCCCAAACTAGCCTAGCTAGAGGAAATAAGATTTGCAAGAGGGATAACGACCCGGCATTCTCAATTTTTTTTAAAATAAACTATCAGACACTCCTGATGACCTCAAATTCTCCAGATGAGGACACGTATACAGATAGTCCTTAACTTATGGCTACAATTGTGAGCAGTCAATTTCCATCGCAAAGCAGAGTGGTTGTTAAGGGACTTGCGCCCAATTTGTTAAACAAATCACTGCAGTGAATTGTGTGGTGGTTAAGCAAGTCATGAGGTCATTGAGCAGACTCAGGTTCTGCCATTGGCTTTGCTTGCCAGAAGCTAGCTTGAAAAGTGGAAGAGAGTGATTATGGGAAGGTTGCAACTGCCATAAATGCAGGTCAGTTGCAAGGACCCCAATTTTAATGAGGGGATGATTTAATGCTGCAAGGATTATAAGTCAGTTATTTTTAGTGCCATTGTAACTTTCAACAGTCACTAAACAAGCCGTGGTGGTTAGAGTGCAGTACTGCAGGCTGCTACTGCTGACTGCTCGTTTGGCAGTTCGAATCTCACCAGGCTCCAAGTTGACTGGGCCTCCCATCCTTCTGAGGTGGGTAAAATGAGGACCCAGATTGTTGGGGGCAAGAGGCTGACTCTGCAAACCGCTTAGGGAGGGCTGTAAAGCACTGTGAAGTGGTATATAAGCCTAAGTGCTACTGTAAGTGCTATTTACCTAGCAAGAGAGGCTGGGGAGCTTAGGAGGTTCTTGGGGGGTCTAGGACAGGGCTTTCCAACCTTAGCAACTTTAAAACTTGTGGACTTCAACTTCCAGAGTTCCTCAGCCAGCTTTGCTCTGGGAGTTGAAGTCCACAAGTCTTAAAGTTGCCAAGATTGGAGACCCCTGGTCTAGGACAACTCGATCCCTACAACTCACCTTAGCCAATTTGCCATGGCCAACTCACTGCAGGACAAGAGTTAAAATAATATCAAGTAAATAGTCATTAAAGAAAGGATGCCAAAGGAGGGGCAAAATAAAATACGAATGACAAAAATTATTTTAGATGATTAACTTGACTTGTTGGATTGTCCCGTGGAGTGAGTTGTCCCATTTCACCTGTAAGTGGGGCTTTATTGCTGCTGCAAGAAAAGAGGAGGGTGAAGAAGCTCCAGATCTTCTTCCTCCCTGGTCACCAACCACTTCTCTCTTTCAGAGATTTATCGCATTGTGTCGCAGAAACAGATGTCAGACAGACGCGAGAACGACATGTCTCCCAGCAACAACGTGGTCCCCATCCACGTCCCTCCAACCACGGAAAACAAACCAAAGATGCAGTGTTGTCAGAATATATAACACGCTCAACACCTGGAAAGCCGCGTCTTTTCCCCCAGATCTGAATGGAAGTAGAGCCGGAGCTGACATTCCTTTTTCTCCTTCTTTGGTTCTCCACTCTCTCCCCCTTTTTCTTTCCATTACATTTTGCCTTTATTTCCATCCTCCTCTCTCCGTTTCCTCATTTCGTCACCGTTCCTCCTTGTCCTCAACCTCAGTTCTGTGACTCATTTCTTTTTTCACACTAGGCTGCAGCATCATCAGAATGCTAGTGTCCTGCAAGGCAAACGGGGTTAACGGTCACAGTGGGTCTCCTGCCGGGCTCACCTCGGGAAGGAGCGGAGATGGGCTCTGTCCAGCCTTCCCCATTGGGACACTCCTGTCAACACCACGGCATGATTTGATAACTCCCTTGTCCCTGGCCTCTGTGCCAGGTGCCGTCTCTCGGCCTTTCGCATCCCAGTGCCATGCAGACTACAGCTCCCATCATCTCTTTCAGCCCCACCGTTTGCCCGAGGTAATGGGAGGTGTAGAAAAATGGTCTGGAGAAAGCCAGGTTGAGTGGGCAGTTTCCCCTCTGGGTCAAATGCAAACTCTTTGTTGGCTTGTTGACTTTCTTTCTAACCAGAGCTGTGAACCTGTTTGGAAGACTCAAGTCGGGGATAACCTCTGAGAATATCTGGGCCTAATGGATTAGCATCATGAGCGTGGCCTCTGGTCCCTCCCTGGGCAGCTTGGCCTGTGGTCTCACCTTTGGAATTGGCTTTGTTGAGGCCACGCGCACATGTAGCCTTTTGACGGGTTTTTAATTCAGCCTGAGCAGACGGATGAGGCCTCCCCTTGCAAGCAAGGAGAGGATGAACCAGCTGGGTGACGGCGCCACTGTGCGAATTAAATTATTGCAGTTTACCTGGCTCAGCCCCAACGTCTGTGGCCGGATGTTGGATGCCATGTAAGTTACTCAACGAGGCAAACGCCAACTTGTTCTTGCTAGTCCCTGCGGCTCGGTCTTGTGGCATTTAGTGTGTCGCATGCTCTGGTATGGGCCTGGGGGGAGGGGGGATCATTTTGCACATTGCACATGTACAGGTGATTGGGAAGGCTTGGAGATGGGTGTTGCAACTCCTAAGAAACCCAGACTTTTTAATGAGAATTGTCAGTAAAATTGGCACTGGTGCATCCCCCGCCTCCAACCCCTCCACTGCCCACCCAAGACTTGATTTAAGCTGGTTTAGTTTCTCTGGGGCTCCCAGTTCCTGGCCTGGAAGCCCTCAAACCTCTCCAGTTGCACACTAAAAAGCCCCAGAGGCCTTCCTCAAGTGGTTGAGCCCTTCTGGGTTTCTAGAGGACATTCCTTCATCTCATTCCCCTCGGCACTGTTTCGGTTTGCAGCCCACACCGCCTGCTCGTCTGCAGCACTGTTCACAAGAGGGGTGGGGTGGGCACACCAGCACATACAGAATTGTGCAGTCTTTGGGAAGCCCAGCTGAAGAGGAAGAGTCCCTGGTTTATAGGGGGAAGGAAGGAATGGAAGGAAGGAAGGAAGGAAGGATGGATGTTTCTCGCAGATATGTTCTTCCTGCTGCGTTGAAAGCTACTCCGCTCAGCTTGTCTGCCAGTCTTGCAGTGCTCATGACGTGTAAGGGGCACCGAGGGCATTGCTGTAGTCCGATCATCCTTTGTTTTTTCCCTCCTCCAGGGTGTTATTTCTCTGCACACTTTTTTTTTGTCCTTTCCCTTCCATTCCCCACTTTTTTTTTTGTAAATTGCTTTGTACTGTTATGCACATTCTGTACCTTGAGTATTTTTTAAGATTGATTTAAAATTATTCATTTTTGGAATTCTAATAAAGAATCACAGGGGATTGTTCAGTGGTGGTGGAGTGAACTTCTTTGGAATGTAGGCTCTGGTGGGCCTTTGATACTTTTTTTTTAAAAAGGGAAGAGTGTCCTTGAGCTGCGGGAAGGGGAAGGTGATTGGAATTAATGTGTGAATAAATTACGCGGGTTGACCTGACATGCAAATCTGACTCATTTGCGGTTCCACTTTGCAGAGTTTATTGCCTTTTCTTTGCAGAGCTTTAAACTTTGGGTGTTTCGCCATTGTGGGAAAAGAAAGTGTAAGAATTGTAACCCTGAGCTATTCTCCCCGGTCTCCAAATAAACTTTTTCCCCCTTTTTAATGGATGCTTCTGATGGATGAAGCATTCTGGATGAGCAGGAAAACACCATCAGCCACTTTCTTTATCTTATAGCATGCCTAGAGGATTAAAAGCAGATTTGGGGGTGGGGGGTGGGGAGTTGGAGGCCCAAAAATAACATGGTCACAAACTCCCTTTTTTGGCCTTCCGATGTTTCCAGAAGCAAGACCTGGCAACCACTATCAGTGCTACAGAATAAAGTTAGACAAAACACTGGTTGTGTCCATTCGGGAATAAGTCATTCTGGACTACAGAACACTTGGTATTGAGATCCCAACCGATGGAATTTAGTGTAGAGAAAAATAAGGTAAGAAAAACTAAATGAGCAAGTACTGACTTGACAGCAGTCACTGCGAGAGGAATCTTGGTGTTCTAGTACAGTGGTCTCCAACCTTAGCAACTTTAAGACCTGTGGACTTCAACTCCCAGAGTTCCTCAGCCAGCAAAGCTTAAAGTTGCTAAGGTTGGAGACCACTGTTCTAGTAGACAATCAAATATGAGCCAGCAGGGTTCAGTGGCAGCCAAAAAAGCCAATGCAATCCTAGGTTGCATTAACAGAGGGACAGACCCAAGATCATATGAAGTACTAGTACCACTTTTTAAGGCCTTGGTAAGACCACACTTTGAATACTGTGTCGAGTTTTGGTCACCATATTATAAAAAAGATGTAGAGACTCTTGAAGGAGTGCAGAGAAGAGCAACTTAAACCATTAGGGGGCTCAAGGGTTGTAGGAATTGGGCATGTCTAGTTTAGAGAAAAGGGCTAGAGGTGATGTGATAGCAATCTTCCAATATTTGAGGGGCTGTCACAAGAGGGGAAGAAACTTTTCCAAAGCACCAGAAGACAAGACGAGAAGGAATGGATGGAAACTAATCAAGGAGAGAAGCAACCTAGAACTAAGGAGGAATTTCCTAACAGAAGAATTATGGCTTGCCTCCAAGTTGTGGCTACTCCGTCATTGGAGGTTTTTAAGGAATCGGACAGCCACCTGTCTGGTTTGGGGTATGCTGCTTGAACAGGGAGTTGGACTAGAAGTTCTCCAATGTCCCTTCCAACTCTTGTTATTCTGACTGTTGCCACATTTTTTTATTTTAAAACAATTGGCACTTTACACTGATAAGTGTACCCAAGGCTCAGAAATAACCATAGGGGGGAAAAATGCAACAGAGAGAAATTCCGTTTATTTTTTAATAAGGTGTATTTACCTTTTGTTTGGTCAACAAATATTACAAATACGTCTTGCTTTAAAAAAAGTATTGCCATTACAACGTTTGTATTCTCCTTTAAAGGGACGGGTCTGCTTTTCAGTGCCTCCTGCTGGATGTAATGTGCCTTTTTCCCCCCTCTATGTCTTTTCTACCCCTTTATTTTGGCCATAGGACACTCTGTTACATAGTACAGCAGTCTCGAATGCAGCATTAATACATTCCCTGGATCTGCAGCCGTCATTTCTCCTGCTGGAGAAAACGTTCACCTGAAAACTTTGCATACATTTACGAACCGGATAAGCTTATAGAGATTACCCATATTTTGCATCCATACCTCCGTCAGGACCAGGTTGGTCCTGGGCATTCTTGTATCTTAGCAGGTATGTCTTCTTTGAAAAGTGCAGCAGTCCATATTCCTGACTTTAGGTCGGTATGTTAATTTCCAAGTCAACTTAATTGTGAATTTGCCCAATTGAAATAAAAAAAGCCTTTGTGGAGGATTGCTAATTACTGAGGTAAGACTTTTATTCCCCCTCCCCTATACATGTATTTAAAATATATATCCCTACAGGTCCTACAAAATAAAGTTCTACTTTTTAGATATATTTTTGGATAAGGCTCTCTTGGAAAGTAAAACAGCTATTGCCAGTAGGTCATATTTTTCCCCATGCACACATGCAGCATTCGTGTAAATAATTACATTTCCCCCCCCCTCTGCTGTGGAAAAAAAAAGTCATTCTAAAATCCCACCGGGGTGCATTTTCGCTCCATCCGCTGACCAGTGCAGAAATCCACCCTCTGTTTTTGCTTTGGAATTAGATTTTCCTTTCTCACCAATCCCCCCCTCCCCCAAAAGTCCTTCCCTTGGCTTTCATCCAGGGACTAAACTACTCCGTTTCCCATCCTGCCTTCTGCCACGGTAGACGGAAAGAGCTTGATAGACACACTCAGGAATTGTTGCATAGGCCAAAAGGGGATGAATCGCTTTTTAAAAGTCCAGAACAAGATAATGTTTGGAAACAGCTTAAGAAGACACCTCCCTAATTCACTTCTGTTGTAAGGAGGAGAAGGCGCCGCACAATCAGACTTGCGAATTTCTGTTCTTAAAGCCAACCTCAATAAAAATTATTTTTAGCCTTCCCGCAGAGTGCGTTTCCTGGTCTGGTCTACCTAGTGGAGATAACACGCATGTTCTGAAGATGCTTTGGATTAAAACTCTTCTACTATCAGTCCAAAGCGAGTCATCTGTGGAAAGTGTTTTCTGCTCTTAGCTACTCAATTCCCTACCTGTCCTATCAATACAGTTACCCTAACATGACTAGCAAGCCTAGTTTGGCTGAAACTCCAAGCTTATGCTTTGGAATAAAATTGGCGAGCCGGATTCCTCTTGATTGTTTTGCTACCATCAACTTAACCTGGCTCTCCTACAATATTCTAATATCTGTTCCTAACCACAGCAGAACTCCAATGCTCTGAGGAGATGACTCTTGGTTCTCCAGATGGAGTGGGGGAAGGTGAGTCCTTCGTCTATGCATCTGTTGGATGAGAAATGTTACCCTATTCTTCCCCTCAAAAGCCTTACAGCCTCCCCAGCTCTTCCAGCTACTGTGAGAGCATCTCTTGTCTGCAAACGGGGCCCTCTTAAATCCCCCACAAGTGGATACTGTTGACAACTAGCATCTGTGCCTCTCGTTGAATGAACTGGCTTAGCAGTGTGTTCACAGCAGCTGTTTCCATAAAAATAGGGAACAAGGTTGGCCTACACGTTCCTTGTGGTCTCTTCCTACTCCACAATTCTGACCCCTAACTTTTTCAGGAGCTGCAGAAGCCACTTTCAAATGGACCAGAGATCTCTGGGTCATCAAGGCAAGAATGTTCAATGCTCAGCCAACCCAGGGGTATACCCAAATCTAAGGAGTTATTAATCCCACATCTGGAGATAACAGCCTAGTCTATGCTGTTGGCAGCAAATCTGGCTGACAAATACTCAGTTTGTGGCCATTCCCAACTGTTACCTTGCCACTAGTGTATATATACACAATGGATTATCCATCTGGGGTCTGCAACAGATCCACTGACCCCTTGAACTCTTGTCTTCTATATTTTATACAGTCACCAAATCTAGCAAGATCCCTATACCCTACATGAGATTTCAGACAAGAATGGAGAAGATCCAGGAAGCGATATTTTGTTTCCCAGCGCATATTATCACATGAGAAGTGAATTAGGTACCTCCCACCCGAAAAGGTTCATTGAGTCCTCCTTTGCGATCCTGATAATACGTTCAGTAGCTGCGCTCTGTTATCCAATTTATCTCTGCTTAAATAACATTTCCAACCTATCCACTGAATGAATCCTGATCAGATGCTAAGGCTTCTGAACAGCGGGGCTGCTACCTTTTATCATTTTTGAGTAAGCCATTCTTTTTCATTTCCCTTTCTCTTACAAATTCCACTCAATTGTGCCTGAACAGTATGTGGACATTTCTTGGTGAAATGCATCCTTTTCACTACATTAACATTTGTTGGATGAAAAGATTATACAATATCAACATTAGATCATATCCAAGATCATCTACATGAGCGTATACCCGAGCTGAAGTTTGACTGCAATCTAACAGCGATTACAGAGAGAAGGTACCTATGATACAGAAACAATCTTCTTGAAATGGTGTGCAGTTGATTTTGTTCTAAAGGAATGATTTGAGGGAAAGGCTTAGCTCCATGGCTGAAATCTGCTTGGCATGCACAGGTTCTCAAGTTCTACACTTGGTGTCTCCAGGAGAGGTTAGGAAGGATCTCTGCTTGAAGCCCTGAACTGGTCGATCTGTAGACATTCCTCATCTGGGTTTTCCAGGTGTGTAAAATTTCAGGTTCCATCACTTCCACTTAGCACGGACATTAGTCATCCTGACTGGGAAAGGATGATGAAATACTGCTTTCTCTTGGTAGCTCTTCTTATGTAGGGATTGACTCTCCATAATTCTTTGGCCAATGACTATTGCTGAGAGTTCTTGGAACGGAAGTCTACACATCTGGAGGACACCAAGATCTAGGAAAGTTCTTGTAGTCCACCTCTACAGGAGTAAACCACGTTGACGAAGGATGCCACTAGCACCCAGTTCAGGTTTAGACAACTGTCATGTTTGTTTGGATAAGGCTGTTGATGAGTATCCTTTATGTACTTAATCCTTGGTGCATCACAAGCATGCCATCTTTGTCAGCAGAAGAACCCAATAGTGTAAGTAGGAGTCCCTGGCTGCACTCTGACTCCTGTGCTTTAGCTTTATCCAGCCCATCTCATATTCATTCCACTGCCAGAGAGAAGAAGCATCTCGAGATTGTCCCCATCTTCAGTGCCAGTGCCACCAGAGAAGAGACGAGCACGGATTCGGTTGCAGATTAAGCGTCATTCAATCCCATCTCGTGAAGATGGATGGATGGAGACCAGCTCCTAAAAGTGGAATGATGGATGCATGGGGTGGGCAAAGGAGCAGAAGAAGTCACACTCAGTAGAGTAAGTGCTCGTGAATGTAACCTTCCATAAACTCTGCAGAACAAGAAGAATTTCTGAAGTTCTGCAGACATTAAAAAAAACCTGGATTCTTCATGTAGAATGAAAGACTATCAAGTTATGGCAGCAGTGATTTTTCTAAAGCATCTTACTGTATCTCTGAGTTCCTTGAAGAAGTACTTTCTGGACTACACAGGAGGCTTCATAACGTATCCCAAAATCTATCTGAAGGTCATGTTTCATTCTCTCTCTTATTTTTTTTATAGAAAAGAATTCTTGAAGCAGATGATAATATAGTACAGATACAGCTATAAGAACTTGCAGCAAGGGATATTTCCTCCCCTCCCTCCCTCTCCATTTTTTTAAAGCAAAAAAAACAAAAACAAAAAACAACAACACCAAATCCCACATGGTCCAGGGTTGACCTTGGAAATCGATGGCTTTCCAATGTCTTCATTCTGCTGTTGAACACAAAAGGAGCTTTCTTGGTTGTTGTTTTTTTCCTGCAACGTGTATAAAATTATTTTTGTCAAATAATAAAAAGTTTTCATGCAGAAGCAAGTGGGCCCCAACAATTGTCTTTGGGTGGTCTTCCTTCCCTCCCATATACAGCAGGATAAAACGGGGAAAAAAAAGATTGTCATCTTTGTTGTGTCCGAGAACAATGCTCCCATGGCACATGGTTGTGGTGTGTGTGTGTGTGTTGGGATGTCCGGGTGGGCTGGCCCTTTAAGATGGCTTGTCCCAGAGTGTCCCATGAGTTGGGCTGTGTCTTAGCGGGACAATGTCGTAATGGCTGGGGATGTGGCTGTTTCTGGGAAGATCGTATGGATTTTGGATGTAACCAGCATTGCGGAGACGGATCTCATGAACCACGCTGACCGTGGGCTCTGTGGAAAGAAGGACAAAGAGACATGGTTTTTGGGGGCCATCAAAAGCATCTTTGGAAAGAGCATCCACACGACTCAGAGCAGGGGCGGGGTCAAACTCAATTTCATTGAGTGCCGCATCAGGGTTGTGTTTGACCTCAGGTGGGTGTGGCCAGCTCAATGTCACTTGTGTTGGGGTTCCTGTGGGGACCTGAGTGCTCTGCCAGCGAAAACGGGCTCGCAGGTTTTTGGCTGCCACGACCTCCTGCAATCCCCAGCCAGTAAAAAAGGAGCTCAGGAGCGCCGCATGTGGGTTGGGTGGGGGGACGGGGCCAGGATGGGCATGGCCAGCTCGATTTCACTGTCAGGGTGCCTGTAGTGGCCCAAGTGCTCTGCCAATGAAAATGGGTTCCCGAGCTCCGTTTTCACTGGCTGAGGGTTGCAGAAGGCCATGTCAGCCAAAAATGGAACTTGGGACTCCGTTTTCACTGGCAGAAGTACTGCGGACCAGTTCTTTGGTGTTTCCAGGGTGGCCCCATGGGCCAGATCTAAGGACCCCAGGGGCTGGATCCAGTCCCAGGTCTTGAGTTTGACACCCCCTGACTCAGACTCCCTCCTCAGATGACCTAGCACACAATCCAGAAACATTTCAAGAATCCCCATCCTTTTGGTCCTTCTATACAGGTAGTCCTCAACTTACGGCCACAATTTCTGTTGCTAAGCGAGAGTTGTTAAGTGACTTTTGTCCCATGTTATGATCTTTCTTGCCACTGTTAAGTGAATCCCTGCGGTTGTTTACTTTGTAACACGGTTGTTGAGTTTGCTTGTCAGGAGGTCACAAAAGGGGATCACATGATCCTGGGACACTGCAACCGTCATAAGTACATGCCAGTTGCCAAGTGTCTGAATTTTCATAACGGAACCGTGGGAATGCTGCCATGGTTGGAGTGTGAAAAATGGTCATAAGTCGCTTTCTCCAGTGCCCTTGTGACTTCGAACGGTTACTAAACACACTGTTGTAAGTTGAGGACTGCCAGTATCAATAACCATGATGAACAAATTGAAGGAGGAAGCAGAAGTTCAAGAATGGTTTCACTTCCAAAGAGATGAGGGACCACTTCAGATCTTGACACAGACTGAGGGGAGGGAGGAAATAGGAACAAGGTTCAGCCGTAACTTACGTGAAGTCAGATCTGACTCTCTGTCTGGTTTCCGAAAGATGCCCTAATTAATTCATGAGCCTTGAGCCAAGTTCCAAAAGAAATCCAGACATTTATTAGGAACAACATTTCGGCAATACCTGAGCGGCGTCAGATTTGACCTTCTCTCTGGAAATAAATACTGTGGGGCTAAGACACCCCTAACATCCCTCGGGGGGAGATGCATTCTGTTAAGATACAACCAGTTGTGGGCAGAGTTAGCCTGCAATATTGCATTATAACCATAGGCTGGGAGGGAAGGAAGGAAGGGGGGAAGGAAGGAGAAAAGGGCAATACCACTTTCCAGCCCTCTCTAAGCGGTTTACAGAGTCAGCCTTTTGCCCCACAATCTGGGTCCTCATTTTATCAACCTCAGAAGGACAGAAGACTCGAGCCGGTGAAAATCAAACTGCTGGCTGTTGGCAGAGTTAGCCTGCAATATTGCATTATAACCATAGGCTGGGAGGGAAGGAAGGAAGGAAGGGTGGAAGGAAGGAGAAAAGGGCAATACCACTTTCCAGCCCTCTCTAAGCGGTTTACAGAGTCAGCCTTTTGCCCCACAATCTGGGTCCTCATTTTATCAACCTCAGAAGGACAGAAGACTCGAGCCGGTGAAAATCAAACTGCTGGCTGTGGGCAGAGTTAGCCTACAATACTGCATTCTAAGCATTGGGAGGGAGGGAGGGAGGGAGGGAGGAAGGAAGGAAGGAAGAACAGCAATAGCATATAGACTTACATACCGCTTCCCTGCTGACATGAAGGAGTGAAGGCTGAGTCCACCGCCTATTCTCTTTCTAAATTTGAGAAATGTCTCCAATCCAAGATACGGCTCTCTTTGCTGAAGAGTTTACTGCCACACCAGCAGCAGGTGGAAGCACAACTCCCCCATTTGCAGAAAATGCCAGGGTGAAGCTAACTCAACAGCCGAGACGCCTTTTGCCTCTCTGCAGAGGTGGGCAGTTCCTGGCCCAGGGCCACATTGGGCCCTTGGGGGGAGCTCCTGGTTGGGCTCCAGGGTCCCAATCTGCTGGGGCAAGAGCTACGTAATCCCTGGCTTGTCCACCCTGTAATAAACTAAATATAGATAGTCTTTGACTTACAACAGTTCATTTAATGACCGAAGTTACTAAACTTTTGGCCACTGCGCACGTGCGTGGAGCAAACATGCGCACCCACCGAAACTTAGTTGAGTAAAATATGTTATTTTTCACACTTACGACCGTTGCAGCATCCCACGGCCACGTGATTTGCATTTGGAGCTTCACAACCCGTTCAGATTTACGACGGTCACAGGGTCACGTGATCACCTTTTGTGGTATTTTTTTTAGCCAGTCAATGGGGAAGCCAGATTCACTTAACGACTGTGTTACTAATTGAACAACTGACTAATTCAACAGGGATTGGCTTAGTCAACGAGGCGAGAAAAGTCATAAAATGTGGGCTCCGTTGTGGTCGTAAGTCAAGGACTACCTGCCATCACATCTCTGGGGACTTACCGACGTCGTAGATGTTTTTGTGAGCTGGCGAAGAGGTTGGCATGTCCAAATACGACGCGTCCCGGTGGGCAGGAGACTTCATTTCCACATAGCTGTTCTCGGGCGGTTTGCGGGTCAGGATGGGGGGGTCTCGGATGGTGGCGTAGGGGTTTTCGCTGCTGTTGAGGGAAGCGGAGCTGGAGCTGTGGGCAGATTCCTTCACGTAGTCTGTAAGACAAGAGCCCGGTTCGGTCTCTTAGCGGGCGGGAGCCACCGAGCCTCAAGGGAGGGGGGGTGAGGGGTGGGTGGGAGAGGTTGGAGACCTAGCCCTCAACGCACACAGCATGGGAACCCACCAGTTACGCCTCGGGAATGTCCGAACCACCAATGTCTCGCCAAACCATCTGCTCATCCAAACTCATGTGCAAGTCATGTCCTGAACATTTGGTGGGAAGAAAAACAACCCTTCAGTTCCACAGCGCTCACGGTTACAAGGGACTCGTCGTTGACGGTTTACGGTACGTTTGTGCGCCCACCGTGCAACCAGCCCGAACCCTCCCCCCGTCACCTGTGGAGGAGGAAGCCGTCGAGGAGCATGCACGGCCCTCTCCCTTGGATCTCCTTGGAGATCACGGCCAGGTAGCGGAACCCCTGGTTGAGGTGCGTCAGCCAAGGAGCTCCCCCCCCCTCCAGGGAGCTCAACCGCGACTTCAGATTCAGCCCTTTTGGGAACTGATTGATCTCTCGTGGGGCTGTCGGAATCCGCGTTGCCCCTAAAGCAGCTGTTCTCCTGATAGGAAACGGTTCCTTGCTTCGGTTCCTTTATTGCATGAAAACATGTGCAATTCCTTGCTAGAGATCTCGGCAGGAGGATAAAATCCTACTTTTTTACTTTATTTATCCTTTATTTTCCCCAACATGGAGACCCCCATCCTCCCCGTATTTTCCTCTCTGCGCCCCATAATATCCGACCAACACAGGATGCTTCCATGGTGAGGCTGGGACGCATGTATCTTCAGAAGCCGGCTCTATTTTGACAAGCAACCTTATTGTTAGTTGGTCCTCGACTTAAGACAGTTCCTTTAGGGACCATTCAAAGTTACGATGGCATTAAAAAAAAGGGGCTTTGGGCTGTTTTTCACATTTACGACCATTGCCCTGTGGCCAGAGGTTTGGTCACTTTCTCATATTTATGACGGTTGCAATGTCCCGGGGTCTCCCTTTTCTGACCTTCTAACAAGCAAAGTCGATGTAACCATGTTGCCAACGTAACAACTGCAGTGATTTGCTTAACAACGGAGGCAAAAAAAGGTAGTAAAATGGGGCTAAATTCACTTAACACCTGTCTCGATTAGCAACAGGAATGTTGGGCTCCATTGTGGTCGTATGTCGAGGACT